TCAGCAGTTAGTGCCTCATGAGGAAGGGGGAGGAAAAGGGAGGAGGGGGCGATTCTTGAAATTTAGAATTTTATGCGTTGGTAGACTCTCAGTTTTTGATAGTACTAACTGCAATTTATAGCAGCTTTATCATTCACCAAACTCTGTAGCTGGACAGTGTGAACTGATTCAGGTACTCGCGCCGGATAATAAGTTAAGCGAAAAAAAAAAAACCTTTATGTTTTAACCTAACAGTGAAACATATAGTATCAAGCATGTTTTGCATGTCGCATTTTTATGCGTTTTGTGCTGTGTAACAGCAGTGCAAAACGCATATTGTCACGGGATTGTCTCTGTGTGTGTGTGTGTGTCCGCAGCAACTTGTCCGCAACTTCCAACTCGGGAATCACAAAAGATAGGAAGCTGAAAATTTAGGGGAACCTTCCCTACCCACGTGTGATCCCGCAAATTTAAATTCAGCTTCCCCGTAGCCGCGGGTAACATGTATGGCCCCGTGAAAGTTTTTTACGGGTGAATTGATGTCTCGGGAACCACGGAGTCTAGGAGGTTGAAATTTTAGGGTAATGACCCCCTGCCCACGCTCCACCTTGCCTATTCAAATTCAGCCTTTCCGCGCTCTTGAATATCAACTACGGCCTTGTGAAAATTTTGGCGGGTAAACTGTTAACTCGGAATAAAGATATTCACCCTTCAAGGTTTCGAATTCAGCTTTCATGCGCTGGTGCGTGAAATTTTTAACAGTTTTCCAATGTTTGAACTATTTTTGCATAAAGTACAAAGCAGTGAAAATCATTGATAGGCAATCGTTCGATGGGCTGAATTACACAAAACGCATGATCGCACCGGCTAGTCTGGTATGCGTTGCTATTTATTTTTTTAAATTCTGCATATCGACATCCCACACATTCTTGCTTCCCCTTTCAATTTTTTATAATAGAAAGATATACTAGCAACGGATGAAATAAGAAGAAGTCAAAAAGGAAGTTAGAAGATGAAAATTACAAAATTTGTAAATTAATAGAATTATTACAATGGTAAGAAATGTTTCGGTCCATTAAGTTATACACATTTCTTACCATTATATCTTGCTCCCCGTCTATACTGCTCTAAGTTAACCTCACTAATTCTTTAGATTCTTTCTTCATTTACTCATCTAGTTTATTCTGGTTGTTCTCTTGCCATTGACTGCTGTTTTAACTTTTAATTTTTTCGTTTTGATTTTTTTTTTTTATTGACAGTAACTGTGAACAAATTGAATCCAAATTTGATAAGTCTTTCTCTGGAAATTTTGTCGAAAAATAATTTTTTTTTTTTATTTGCCATATTTTTTTTTTATTCAAGCGAGGTGGTAGTAGCATTGTTTTAGGGCCGTGACTTCAGATTCAATTTTTCCAGTAGGAAAAAAGATTTCGTTAAAGTTCGTTGTCTTGAGGAAAGATTGGTGCATGCCAGGTAGGAAAACCGCCACTAAATTCCTTCTAATGAATCTTCATAATAATTATTGAGAGCCTTGCTAACGTACGATTACAATCGGCGTTTGTCTTCACACGGGATACTTTCGGTTGTCTCGATCTCTCATAACTGATTGTTAATGGATATGTTAAATTTCACTTATTCGTACGTGAGGGAAGACGTTAACGC